CCTGGCCACAGAGACAATAATCTAACTATCTGGACAAGACTGTTACTACAAAAAAAGCAAAATATTTAATATTTTTCACCTCATTGTCAATTTCTTTTTAGAAGACACTTCATAAGAAAGCATGCACTAAAGGCCATACTTCTACAACTCAATAGAAATCCAGAGTTAGCATGAGCTGTTGACGTAATGATGATGAGCCCAGAGAGAATTTACATTTTGATATGGATCTAAGGAAGTGATTTTCCCTATTTTATTTTACTGTTTTCTAAAAGAAATTGAAAACATTTTTTGTGTACATGTCTTGTCAAAGTTTGGGAGAACTTGAAAACACACTGTGGTTCAGTTCTCCCATAGAATCTCTCATTATCCCTAATAAACTTCCTGTTGTGTTTCTTTATAATTTATAGCTCAACAGAAACATGAAAAATGATTTCTATTTCTTAACACTTAAGCTTAGTCAATCCATTAATTTGGTAGGGCCTTGTACAGGGCTCAAAAAAAGTGCTGTCCAGTCATCCGGGACAAGTAGATTTTCCAACCGGGCAAGTAACTTTTCATTCTCACTTGCAGCCCAATGGGCAAGGGCAAAGGCAAGTCATCCGCCAACTAAATCAAAAATTAAAGTAAGCTAACATTTGCCCAGGGCAAGTAAAATTGAAGGGGTGCATGGAAAAAAGCCCTAAATGACTCTTGATCTCATGTCAAAAAAAAAAAAACACCTTGTTTACTTTGATCATCAAAATTTAAATTCTCTTTGCTCAAGCCATGCCAATTTTGTGTTTCTATTGAGTTACAGAAACACAATTTTAAGCCAATCACCATGCATATCTTCTTGATAATATTATTATCTTGCTCGAGTTGGCTCTTGTCCTTGTTCTGAGGGGTTTCAATTGATCAAAAACTGTCAAGTGTTTCCCACGTCTTCTGAACTAATTTTCCCATAACTTGCTCTCACTTACAGTTGTGTCTCTCTAGCTTGCTCATCAACTTCTGAAACTCTAAACACTACAACAGGGCGGCTCCTAACACTTTGGGGAAGAGATGTTTGGGGAGATGTCGCAAAAGATAAATTACTTCCCTGAAATTGCAACAAAGTAAAAAACGATGCTACTAAATTAGACTGTAGACTGTAACAAATTGATTTTATGCCATGCATGAAGTTCAACTTTAATGACTTCTAATAAAAATAGTTAAAATAAGGTTGAAATAAGTACTACTTAAAATAAAGTACATTGTTTTTTTAAATGGACAATCCTTTTGTAATGCCACTGATAACTTGTAACTCTTTTTTTGTGACACAAATCATGATAAATGATGTTTAAGTTGCAGTCATCAAACATTAAAATTATATGTACTCATAAATGTTTCCACATACATGGGTTCACAACCAGTTGATACTAATTTAATGTAACCTTTATTATATTCTTTTTTAGTCTGTATAATTTTGTATTTTTTGCTGTAATTAAACCAAATATTTGCAATTAAGGTGGCCAAAGACTGGTGATTTTTCTGGGTCTCCTCACCCTGTGTAAGTTATTGTAATTAAGGAATACTACTTTTAAGCAAATAAAAGATGATGATGATGATGAACCTACCACACAGATGTCCAACAGAGTGTACGGTTGTCCTTTTTTCTTTCCTTGCACATGGCTATAACAGCCTCGCTGAATGAAAGGAAGAGCTGATGACCTGTGAGTACACAAGACCCAGTCAGAGTTACTTCAAGACAATTTCTGTGGAGAGTGGGGCATCTTGATTTGTAGGAGCCATGGTTGATTAGCAAAATGACATGTTTCAGTCCACAATGTATGTACATAGGCTGGTATCATTCTGTTAGAACTGTGGGTTTTATGCATTTTAGGGTAACTAGATAGAATGTTTAGTTCCCAACTTACTGTCATCTGATGACACTGCATGATATTAATTTTTATTTTGGCTGCACAACTGGAATGCTATTTTTTGAGGGCTCAATGGCACAACTAAATTATAAGGTTAGCTCAAACCCTTAAAAAATCTTGTCCTTAAAACTGTAGCCTCCTTAATTCGGCAGTGCCTGTGCATCTTATTTGGTAAGTAGTCCAGTAAATACAAGTAGATGATACTGTGATTAAGCTTACCTGTGTGACAAATATGGATTGAATATTATCAATAATAATAGTAGTGGAGCTCCTGTGTGCTGAAGGTGCGTGAGCAGAGCCCCATACCTTAAAAAATTTGCTAACCCAACAATCTGAAAAATTTTGGTTGTCATGTGACTGTCCATATGTACGTCCGTCTGTACGCCAATACCTTGAAAACTAAGAGAGCAGCACCACTGCCATAGCTATATCTTTGATTTTGGGCGTCCATGCTATTGTTAATTGACAGCTGTCACAACAAGCTATCTGCTGACCAGTATCACGTGACTGTATCGCGGGCTCAGGTTTAGAGCTCATTGAGGTTGCGTGTTTTTGTAAAGTTAACCACTGCCCAGTTACTGGTTTACCAATTGGATTGCAGGCTCAAGTCACGTTATTTCTCTGGGGGAGAAGGAAGGAGTACCCCTGGTGCGCTGTTGACTTCTCCTCTGACATGTTTCTTATACAATTATCTCTTGGAAAGTCCCTGATATATTGCGTATGTAATTTCTACAATCTTGGTTAGGCTTGTCAGGTAAAGTTTGTTAAAATTTAACTGGAAAAAACAGCAAAACCCCATGCTGAACAATTACATGCTCACAATTGATCATTTTTTGAGTTTCTGATCCAACAAAAAATAATTCTCTTTTTCCTTTATCGTCAGTTATTGCAATCAGGAGCTCCGCTTTCAGGCTTGGCTAAATCTACCGGTATATAATTATTAGACTCTAATTACCAAGTTACTGGCTTAGCGACTACTGAACAATTCAAACAAAAGTTTATCCCAGGCCTGTAGTCACCACAAGAAAAATTTTCAAAAATAAAGAGAAAATAGGGAATACCTTCTTTTAAGCTGCGTTATTCAGTAAAGTATATAAAAGATCTTTACTAGCCTATAATTATTCCGAAGTTGACAACTTGAGTCACATTTATCTTCCTGATTACATGCCAAATGTAAATGTCAATACCAACCTTGTGCCAAACTGGTGAAATTCATAGAGTGTGAGTGTGTTGTCTGCTGAAAAGAAGAACCCATTTAATTCTCTATGAGCATCACGGCCATTCTTTGTCACAATTCTGGCTCCAAATCGCACTCTCTTGGACAGGGCATTTTCCGTGTTTGGACCTTTGGAAGGACTCCTGTGAAATGCATTGAGAGATTTCTAGAAAGTTCACTGCTTGCAGCTTAAGTCAGCATAATTCCTAAAGGCTGCAGTCAGTGTTATGACACAGTCATGTTAGGTATTTTTTGGAAAGTTTTACTAGTTAGCTACAGTAGTTCTCCCGGGGGTGGGGGGTACTCCCTTATATGGGCTATATTAAAGGTATGTGCGGCCCGAAAGGGTAGGGTTTTTCAGCCGTTGTGGTCATAAATAGGGTATCGATTTTGGCCATATCGGTCTTAAATTGGGTATGGGTTTAGCACTCTAGTCTTGAATTGGGTATGTTCCTTAGAAGAAGCTACTTTTTCATCATTATTGATAAGACTGTCAACAAAAGCCCTTCATAACTTATGTTTAGGGCAACTGTGCCAGCTACAGTACAAAGAATTTCTGGTCAGGTCATAAATACATGTAGGGTAGCAAAAATTGCAGATTTTGGTCATAAATAGGGTAAGGGTTTTGGGAAGTGGGCTACACACCCCTACTCAACTTTTCTGGGAGTACCCCCTCCCCAGGCTAGTTCTTTCCCCCAATGCCATAACTTGATCCCTTCTAGATTTAGACTAATTACAGCAGTAGCATGTACCTGGTGTTATAAAATTCCATTTGCTTTCGTTGTTTGGGTCCCACATCAGGAGGAATAATGCTGTTGTTTTTTTCTGGATCAGAAACGGCTGCCCTAAATGTAACAAAATGAGGACTACTGAGATTGAGACTGTACTGACAAAGGCATCCCAAGCTCCTTGGGAGCTGTGAACATTACTATATAACACTGCGTAACAGCATTAATATAAGAGTTTGTATGGGAATGTAACTATTGTATGTAACAGCTCGAAAAGTGAAAAAGAAATTGAACAAAAACAACTCACTTCGACTCTTCTGTATGTTACTTTTGTCTTTTGTCATTTCAGCGCGATTTCAGCAAGTTTCAGTTTTATTGGTTCCCTCTCTATATACAATCCTCATTGATGTTGATTTATTTTGGTTTAATTTGGTGATCAAAACTGTTGAAAACCATGATTTAATTCATCAGCACCGTTTTCATGCCGATGAAGATTGTCGAGAATTGAAATCTCTGCTTTCTCCCCCCAGATCATTGGCACAGGTGGCACCCAGGGTAAATTTGTTTCTTACACCTGGCCAACAAGATTCTTTGTGCCAAATTTCACGCTTTCTTCCACTCCGTAAACATCTAGCCTTAAAATCACCCTAAGCCACCTCACTATTCATAATGATAATGACAATGACAATGATAATGATAATGATAATGATAATGATAAGTTTAATTCCATCATCATTGCAAGTTAATGAATTACAATGAGGTTACAAGAAAACAAAAAAAGATAAAATGACATAGTACAGATATTTATTTGTCACCGGGGACTGGGTAGCAAAGGCAATTGTCATCATCATGTGCTTTCTTATGGCCGGTTACAGCCGGCACAGGAAACTGGGGGTGGTTTTTGCACAGCTGGTTACAGCCGGCACAGAGGTTAACTATAATAGGTTATGCACGAAAAGTATAACGTACCTCGACAGCTGGTCCACAAGAACTGTCTCTACAATCAGGTCCTTCTTCTTTTCTGAATGCAAAATTTCCTAAGATGTAACAAACAAAACCGCAATTTATTTTTAACAACAAAGATTAATTGGTTTCTTTCTACTGTGATTTATTCCAAAATATGTACTCTCAAGATGAGAGATTCCTATCTCTCAAGACAAGAAATATCTTGTCTCAAGAGATTTTCCTTTAGAGACAAGAGGTCACATCTTATTTTTGAGCTGAGTAAATATACTGACTGTACTTCATAAAAATTATTAATTTTAAGTACTATAGTACCATGATCAATGGACTTTTCAAAGTTGTTGCCAAATCAAAAGAACACTCAAAACAAACAAGAGCTTGATATGGATTTCTCGGCGACTGAGCTTGCGAAAGAGGCGAGAAATGAGGTTCTCACACACTGAAGCCGGGGTTGGGCCAGAGTTAGGATATCACATCACATTAGGTCTCGTGACTCAGTTTTCTGTTTCTTGCCATAGAAGCAACAGCTTTTCCTGCCCACCCAGCCCTTTGCCAGTCTGCGCTCGTCTGATGCATTCTAGGTATTGTTGACATTCTGTTTTTTTGCCTACAAGCTCAGGGTTTGATGTCGCATTTTTTGCATCCATTAGTCCTTGTAGATGCTGTTTTCAGGTTTATTGTTTGTTAATAAAATGCTGTTGCCTTGTATGGCAGACAAATGGCATTCAGTGTGTGAGAACTATAATATTTTATTATACAATACTTCAGTCAATCAGATTGCAGGTCAAATGTCCTCAAACATACAGCGAGGTGCATGCAGATTGAACCAATAGCACTGAAACTTTGTCTGTATGATCACATGAGACCAGTTAACATGAATGGCAAGATTAAAAGCTGATCAGTCAAATCCCCAATCAGGCCAGACATTGTCTGATGACCAGCCATCATTTCCAGCCTTGCAATATTGGGATAAACTGGAATTCTCTGAGATGTGGGAGGTGGAGGGTTTGAAGCCAAAATAACTTTATGTACCTGTAGGAAGGGTATGGATATTATCTTGAGCAAGGACAAGCTGCCAAACTTTGATGGGATCATGAATTAACATTTTTTTCTATTTAGAGGTAGTGTTACTACAATCAGAAAATAATTTTATTATAATTTTCCTTGTTAAGTTACCAGGAAAGTTCATTTTACATCCATAAAATAATGTTTTATACTTACAACTGGCTTTCATTTTGAACTAAAGCACATACTGTACTAATCAGAACATGTACCTGCTCTTGTCTTGTTTTGAACTGAGCCATCTCTCGCTGAGTGTGTGGCTGTGTGCTCCATGGTCTGTCATATTGGTTGGTCATGCCACTGAGGTACAGGTAAGCAAACACCAGCCAAATAAATATACGATCATACAATAAAAATTATAAAATTTATCACTGAACATAAGCTCCTCTCTCTAATAAGCCCCTATCTGTTTTAGACCTTCTGTCAGTGAACGTAATTGCAGTTAGGCTTCCTGTCTTGATCTATAGCCCCTCCCTTCACCCAAAGATATGTGTTAAGGTAACTTCTAGAGTTATTCATACCTCATATTTAATGCTATTAAAATGTGCATTAATTGATATCAAAACAGAAATAGATAGGTCTACATTGATTAAAAGGCACACCTCCCACATGTAACTTAAGTTAATTTACTGTGATTTACGACCTAATTAGTGATTTGATTTTTGCTATTTATACAATGAGATTGTTGAATTTTTTATAATAAAGTATAAGAACAATGAAAATTTCATTCATTAATTTTGATAAATAAGAGCTGCATTATAAATTAGTCAATCAGAATCATGGACTAAAACACGTTTTTGGAATGCAATCACTGATAAGAACCTACTTCTTTGCACTCTCAGAAGGGTTATGAGCAATCCCCTAAAAGGAAATAACGTACAAAAGAAATACAATATATCAGGGAGAGTTTAAGTTTAAATAAAACATTAACTGTCTTTTAAATCACAAAGCCATATAGTCAAACCTCAATTATTTCCACATCTTTTGAATTTCTTTTACTTATGTTTATTTGTAAAAGCTCTAATTTATATAATTATTCAAAAATGTCTACAGCACTTTTTTCAACTATGTTAACTCTCAAAACATTGCAAATCTGGGCCTAATTGGTCAAAGAATGGATGCTACAATTATCAGTTGAGTAAGGCATGATGGAAGTTTAGTGACAAACTTTTGGCCTTAAAATTGCAGTGTTGTCACGCGCAACTTACCTCATTTCCACTGGTAACAATATCAATGGATGTGCGTCGCCTGTCACATCGCCTTAACTTTATGCGCTTTACTGCCAGTGACGTCAAAGGGCGACAAGATGCTGCTGGAAACGGAGCCAGTTGCCCGTGACAACAACACGATTTTCACGTTAAAACCTGGTGACCAAACTTTCGCCATGCCTTACTCAACTGATAATCTTAGTAACCTCAATCACTCATCCACCCATTAAATCCCTATCCAGTGGTTATATGTAACAGGGAAAGAAACAGATAAAATTCTTATAATAAAAATATAATTTTTTTTTGCCAGAAGCATACCAGTATATAAACCTGTCTGGGGTTATATGCCTCTGCCTTTACTTAACCTTGGTTTTACACAAAGCTTCTGAGGCCTAGCGTATACTGCACTGTTGGAGCCACATTTAATTGTTATTTTTTCCGTTTGTGCGTGCATTCTTTCATGATCATCGCATTCTTTTCGTTTATCTCGCTTTCATGTTATCGATGTTCTGTTAGGTTTTTTCGCATAATTTTGCTTTGTTTCAGTCCCTTTTGTATGCGTCTTTCTAGTTTATTTGTGCATTTTCTTCGCGACGCTACCGTCTTCTCGTCTTGTTTACCACCCTGCCGTTTTCCTTTTTTTTATGTGTACCTCAGCTTCCTAGTCATACGTTTGTAAGTATCGTCTACCTTCGGCTCGTTATTTCTGTTTCTTTTATTGTATTCGTCTATAACTTGTAATTTATTTTGTTTGTAGCAACCGCTCCC